AAAATGTTATTTTTAACAAAAAAATTATGTGTAAAATCTAAAAAAAATATTTTATAATTTTTTTGCGAATTTTTAAAAACCGGAAAACCGGAAAATAAAAAATAAATTTTGTTTTTATTAAAAATAAAATTTTCAACGACAGATACAGAAAATATTTTTATAATTTCTAGTTTATTTATAAAACAAGTCGTGTTTTGATATTGTCGAATCTAAAATCAGTAAAATATGCCCGGAAATATCCTCCTCCACAAAAAGCGAGGACAAATTCCCAGAGTGCACGAGTGCACAAAGCGCGCGCCGCGTTCCAATCGTATACAAAGCAACTTTTGCGACCGTTTTTGTTATGCATACGATGATTTTTTCCTCTCCCGGCTTTCGCTGCATATTGGAAACTGAACGCAACTGCAAACAATATTTTCGCTCAGCGCATAAATCCCGAAAATAAACTTTTACATAAACTAATAACTCAAATTTAAACTTTAAACTTCAAACATCAAACAACGATCGCAAAACTAAAATAAAATAAAATGAACTTACCAAAGTTATAAAATATTAAAACAAATATTTATTCTACTTATATTTAAATTTATATAAATTTATATAATCAACGTTTTTTTTGTCACTTAATTTTTACTGATTTTAATTTCGCACACAATTTGTGAGTTTAAATCAATTTATCAGCGGTAATTCACTCGATTTATCGGTAATTGTGTTCAGTGTGCGTTTCTGGGACGCGTCGAAGCGTTCGCGAGCAGGTTTCGCGTTCGACTGAAGTGAACTGCAGGCGGCTGGAGCGACAGGAGCACCAGGAGCGCGCCAGGACTCACAGGACAAACAACAAGCGCATGAGCAGAGACAAAAACAATATTATAACAATTTAAACTGAATTTTAAAAATAATAAATCAAAAAATTCAAATTAAATTAAAACACAAAAAAATTTTTAACAAAAAATAAAAAACAATAAAACAAAGTTTTACTTGTGACACAGTTAAACGTTGAAAGTTTTAATTAAAACGTTTTTAATTAAATACAGCGCGATATTTATTAAGACAACTGCGTTTAATTTAAATTTAATTTGAAAAATTTCTAACGTCCGATATTATTATATGAAAAATTTCAACTTTCTTGCAAACTTTCAACTTTCAACTCGGACAGGATGGATATTATTATTACTCCGAAATGAAAATTGCGCAACTTGACTCGAAACGTGTGTGGGATAATAAACGTTTCTGCGAATTATGCCGCACGCCACCGCTCCTGCACACACCGCTACTCTACTACTTTTCCGACTTCCGAGTTCCGTTCCGTTAAAATTTCTACAATGTTCCACTTTTCCGGGTTTCCGGTTATCCTGCTTGACGCATCGCTACGTGCATTCTTCGCTAACTTACATCCCGCGACCCAAACAAACTTTTCTAGATAAAATTCTAAACGGAAAACTTAATAATGAAAATTTTTACCAAAAAAAAAAAAAAAATTTTTAACGTTTAAGATATAAATTAATATTTTTTTTAGTCTTTGATATTCTACTCATAAAAGAATTCTGTTGCAATATTTATTAAACATTTTTCCATCCTGGACACGCATCGCATTGATTTCCAGTTATCGGAAATTCAAGCAAGCGTTTCGTGTTGTGCGCGCTGCACAACAGCATCAGCGCTTGTTTTGTTTTTATTTTATTTTTTATATCCACTTTTTGCTTGTTTCCTATCCGAATGAGTCCAAGAGTGCTTTTTGTTTGTCCGCCTGCACATTTCCGGCATTTTTTCCGCGCATGCTGAAAGTCTAATCGTGTTTTGCGAGGGTTAAACACATCACGAAAAAATTGTAGTAAAAATCTGCGGGTTCTACAACCTCCCGTACATAATAAACCACAATCTCGATAAAATAAAAAATAAAATGACCAAATGAAAGCTAATTTATGTCTGGTCTAATTATCGGTCAACCAATTTCGGGCGGAAAAATTTTCCCGATGGTGGAGGCGCTGACATCGAAATAAATTTGCAAGCAAATTGGCACTCGCCGTCGATAAATTTCCTCCGGCAAACAATGCGCCTTTTATGCGCCAATAAAACGTTTTATACCCTCATACGCGCGCCGTCTGTATATTTTCCGCATTTAGCCCCGAAATCCAGCAATACTCTATTATACGATATCCTGTAGTTTATAGTCGTTATCCGCCTCGTCTCAATCAATACCAGATGTTTATAAACGCCTCCAACTAATAAATCTATCTTTATCCACAAATAAATCACCAACACTCTGTATATCTAGCTTTGCTTTGCTTTGGACGGATCGTAAAGTAACATTTCCTATTACGGACGAAATAAATTATCCTTCGAGGATATTTCAAGAATTCTTATTGGAATATTTCGATACACAACCGGCAAAAAATAAAACCACCGCACCCCGGCAAGGACAAGCAAGGACAATATTTTATGAAACAAGCAGCGCGAAATTGAAATTGAATAATGTAGGCGGCGGCGGAGGCGGAGGGAAATGAAAATAACCCGCGCAATTTTCGACAAGTACGGTTTTTACTCGTTTTGTCAAAAAAAACGGAATAAAATTGTCTTCCGCCGGAAATAAACATAAAACTTTATATCTGTATATAAAAATATCTGCTGCTACATATATTTTACTGCATATTTCTTAAAATTAAAGAAAGAAAAAAATTTTCTCAAAAAAAATGAAATTAATCACAATACAAGTATTTTATTGTTTCTGCATCGTTTGGCATCTCAAGAATAACTTGTAGATCCCCGAAATTCAAACCCAAATGGTGCGTGGCGAACACAGTTGATTTATTAACATTCAACTACAAATCCTTGGGCCATGAACAAGCCAAGAGGAAAAAGACTCACGCTTCAAACTAATGGCAGCGAAATTAAAGCTGAAGTTGAAGTGGCGGAGAAATGTGGAAGGAAAACGAAAGTGAAGCCACAAATTCAGCCACGAGCATGAGCATGGCCGGCAAATTAATTAATAACTACCGTGTGTACCACACAAAAACAAGTCATATTTTATACTTTTTCATTAAAATATTTAAAATATTACCATTTTTAAAGTGTTTATGAGGTAGCAAACACAAAAAGAAAAATTATACAAAAGTTTTCAAGTTATGAAGATGAGAGGAAAGAATAAAGGGAAAACTTGAGAAAAGATTGACAAATCAAAAAGTTTTGCGGAAAAGTTTTCATTTTTATAGGAAAAAATTATTCACAAAACAAAAAATCAAGCCTCACTTGTTGACTGTACGAGTAGATAAGGAATATAAATTCGTGGCGAAGAAAATCGAATGTTGAATGTTCAAGTGACAGCAAAACCCAAGAAAAAAAGGGTGTTGAGAAAGTATTTCCATAGATTTACTAAACATACATTGTGTTTAAAGATAAAATAAATTCCTAGTAAATTATTATCCTGTATATTTAGTAAACGAGTAAGTATTTGCGATGGCAAAAGTCACAAGTCAAAAGAGCATCATTTTCCGGTGTTTTCAAAGAGCGCAGTCTTTTCTTCACCTCTATGCGCGCAGGAAGAGTATTTCCGTGACGTGGAAAAAGAGCTCAAACGTCGGCGGATCGTCGCCTACAGACTCAAAACCGCAGAACAACAAGTACGCCAAGACGACGACGGCGGAAACGAAACTCTCGCATGTACTTGGTAGCAGTAACAGTGTGGAAGAGAAGGAGAAGATGAAGAAAGCTGCAGTGTGGAAACGCAAACCCTGTTTGCCGGCGAACGTGATCGGCTTAAATTCATCCCAGTGCGCGAGTTTATTTATTCCTTAAAGCGTTTGCAAAGGAAGAAAGCAGAAGAGACAAGAAAACAGCAAGTATCAAAAGGTGGTACGAGAAAAATGTTATTTTAATAGAATAGAAAACATTTAATTCTATTTTTTGTTTTTAAATAATAATAAAAAGCATTTTTCGGTTTTCCGGTTTTTAGATTTGAGGTAAAATCATTCTAATAGTATTTTTACCTTCATAGAAAACATTTAATTCTATTTTTTGTTTGTAAATAATAATTTAAAAAACATTTTCCGGTTTTCCCGTTTCTAGATGTGAGGTAAAACCATTTCAAAAGTATTTATACCTTCATAGAAAACATTTAATTCAATTTTTGTTGTAAATAAAACCATTTTTCCGCTTTTCCGGTTTACAGTTTTCGTATAAAATGATCCGGGGAAACTATTTGTAAATTGGTGCGCAAGTTGCAAAACGAAAAAAGCGCCTTCGCATTCATTGGAGTGCGGTATAAATGTTTCACATTGATGCAGGAAAAAAACGACGACGAAAAGAAATCACTACCTTCGCTTGCTACCGAGTTACATAGAAAAGAAAATGAGGAAAGCTTGGAAAATAGAAACAAAAAACATGCAATCTGGTCGCTACAAGACTCTGGTGTAAAGAAAATGCTTTTTTATTATTCACAACTCAAAAATAAAAAAAATAAAAAATAAATGAAAAATGCTTAAAAACACGAATAATTCAAACAAATCCAGGACTAAAATAGTCTAATATTGATTTATCGAATGTGTTTGCCAAACGAATTAGGTTAAAATGCAGAAATCACGAAAACAACCCTTGTATACCACGGATATTACGAATTCCAATTGGATTATGAACCTGCCAAGCATTCAAAACATCTCAATTTAAAAATAGCATTTTGCTTCGAAGAAAAACACGCGATTACTACAATCATAAATTCGCGTCGTGAGAGGAGAAAATTTACGGATGCGACAACTTGCCAAAAATATTTTACGCACAAACAAACCCTGTGAGTTCACAAACCGCAACCAACAATTCATTTATACAGCATACAAAGTTGCCTACGTTAAATAATAAAAAAACACGGGTTTTATTAAGTCACGTCTTGAAATCAATTACTTTCGATTGTTTTCGTCTCGTCACGTGCTCAGAATAAAATAAAAAAAAAAAATTACGAAAAACACAAAAAATAAAAACAATTGTTTAATCGATTTTATCTTTTTATCTGTATCACTCATATTCTTATTTTATAGACTTTTGTCCTTGATGCGTGCGTTTCTCACATTTTCTTTGTCTGAAGGATTTTTCCTTCGTGTTCCCCAGAGGTGTATTAACATTGATCAATCGAGCAAATCGTGATACCTCTCCGGCGTTATCCTGCCTTTTCCCGGACACTCTCGGGACGGTTTGCCCAGAGAGCTTTGGATTTCTTTTACGAGTACGCTCGCTTTAACATTGGATAGCAGTCCCGATATCGGATATCACAAATACTCAAGAAAATCCATCCAGCGTAGGAAACGTATATATTTTTTAATTTTAGATAGATGTGTATTTGCTTTCTTTGTATTAATCAAATGTGACTTTTTGCGCAACTTGACGCAAAACGGCGACATTAATCAGCCCGGAAACTATTAACTTGATTTATATCCCGGCTGATGGGCAAAGGGCGCGTCACTCGTAAATCTTCCATCGACTCCAGAGTCGAGAAAAGTAAATCCGGGGTTATTTTTAACATTTTTCAAAATTTACTAGCATTAAAATGAATTTTGCACCAGATTTCTTAATTTTTTGAAGTTTTTTTTTTTTTTAATTTAAATTTAAACTTTTGTAGATTTTCCACTTTTTGAACCTTTTTTACCCTTTTTATCAGGTTTTTTCTCTTTGACTTCTTTTATTTTAGGAGAATTAGTCTCCTGATCCTTTTTAAACATTTCGCCAATCAATTTATCGCGTTTACCATAAGCATTTTGAAGTAACACTTCAGAATCACAACGTATTCCTTTAAAAAACAATAAATTAATCATCAAAAGCCTCAAAAAGTAATTTTTATACCGTCAAACCAATTTTGAAGCTTAAAACCTTTCTTCAAACAATTTTCACGAAATATTTTCATATCCTCTATATAATTCTGATGGTATTCCATAAAATTATCAATTGCTTTCGCTTTCATAATGATATCCTGCTCAAAATCTTCAGGTTTCTTCAAAAATCTAAACATAAAATTAAAAACTCTAAAAACCCTTAATTTTTTATTCTACTTAAACACCTACCCGTCTTCTGTATCCTCTAAAAAGTCATAACACTTTTTTCCTGGTACATAACTTCCATTACTACTTGTTTTTGAAATATAACTAGTGTTATCTTCAATTGATTCTTTACGGGTCATCAGGGTACTCGCATAATCAGACAATGTAGATGATTGTGTATAAAGGTTATAATCAAGTGGTATCCTAGTTTTACTAGTGCTATCAGGGTGTACCAAGGTCCTACTAGGTTCCGAAATATTACCAGTTTTATCTTCTTCAATTTCTTCATAGAATGATTCATTATATAAATACTCGTATTCTTCAATTTGTAATTTGGTATCACTTTCACTAACCTCCTGTATAATCTCTTTCAAAAACGTTTCCCTTAACTTTTTACCTTTTTCTAGTCTGTGGGGATCACCTTCAAACCATTTTGATTTATTATTCTTCATTTCTTTACTTCTTCTTTGATCTACAGTAAATTGCACTTCATCTTCTTCATTACACAATAATTCAAGTGACCATTTAGGGTTTGGCAGACTATCATAATCTCCTAATTTAGTTTTAGACTTTAAGGATGATTTTGAAGGTGTCTTTTTGGTTAATTTATCAGACTGCTTCCATTCTTCTTTAGTCAAAGGCCAAGAATTTTTCAACACCAAAGCTTCCAGGTAATAAAAACACTTTGGATCTGCCTTCAAACTAGACTTTTTCGATTGATTACTCCTACGAGAGGTCAAAGACCCTGTTCGACTTCTTTTATCTCTATCAGGTACACTACTTGATTTCTTTTTTAAATTTACCAAGGACACAGAGGTCAAACTCTTTCTACTTGTTTTAAAAGTTTTAACTTTTGATAATTTAGGAGCCACTTCAACTGGTTCTTCTTTAATATAAGTTAAATTCAAAACAGGAAGGATAATATTCCCTTTTCCGGTGATTTCCTGAACCAATTTACCTTCCTTAGTAAGACATCTCAATTTGACCAAAACCTGATCATAACTACATCGTAATTTCAAAGTCAAAGAAACATCATTGGTAATACCTAATGCCACTTGGGTTATGATCCCCTTTTTATTATGATGGTACCCTTGGGTTAAACAAAGCCGTCCTCTTTCTTCTTCCTCAATAATCAAAGAATATTTATCAAAACGCTTCATGGTAATAAAATTATACTTGTAAAAATAAGTTTTTTGCTCTGTGGACCACCCATACCCCAAAAGGGTATACCCTTTAGCATTACAGGTATAACCCGCGACGCATGCGCAGTTCACCCCACGGAAAACCTCCTCCAAAGTATCATTATTAAACACTCTAACCACAAACTGTTCTATATTAGTAAACAACACAATCTTCACGCTTTCCTCAAAAGGTGAGTCAATAAAAAAGGCAAACCTTCCAATAGGTACCCATTGGTAACCCTCATTAGAGATTGTAACACTCCCGTTGATAATTTGATTATTGATAACAGATCCAAGGTCATCACACCATGGATAATAAGATAACAAAGCACCTTCATTGGGTATCATCAATAACCTTCGAAACAACCCAGGAAGGAATTCAAATCTCTTATCCACATTTAGAAAGTTTTTATAAAATGTCTTCAAAACCTCATAGACTTTATTAAACCTGGGGTGGTCCTTATCATGACACTGCTTTAATTTTTAACATAGATCATCTTGAAGAAAGCTTGTATCTTACAAGCAGCCCAATACATTTCCGCTTCTTTTTTAAGATCATCCCCACTAGATTTAGAAGATTTAGACCTAGAAGATTCCGGACTCAGGCATTCATCATCATCCCACTGGGGAGGTGATTCAATTTTTATAATCTTAGGATTCACCTTTTTTTCTTTACTTCTTATGGGTTTCTGAGGAGGACAATGAAGGTCCTTCCCTAGGGAAGGATTCAGAAAGAGAACCCTTAGACAATATATAACCTCCCCACATTCAGGGTTCTTCTGTTTTATTAAACCACCATACAACTCTAAAAGACCCTGTTGTAAATCCTTTATATCCTGTTTAGTCACACCCTGTATACTTGGGTAAAAACTCTGATAGAATTGTCTAAGCACCCCAGGAAACTCCGGTGTACCAAACGCCTGTATAACATTCCCAAAAGCGGTCCCATGATCCAAGCAAAACTGCAGGAACCTTTCACTTTCCAACTGCATCTTATCCAGGATAAACTCCAGAGGTCCCACTTCCACATCCACATCACTTAGAAGGGTAATATGGTAAGAAGAAACAGAGCTTATCCATAACCTCAAAACCTGTCTCCCTGCATCCAAAGAAATAGAAACAGATTTATTTCCGGTTGTATTAACTTCTAGGACATGATCCCCAAAGGTCTCAGTCTCCCAATCGTACTTCTCCATCACAATATTCCCATGGGTTTGTAAATTACACCTATCCGAGAAGGTAAACTTCTTCTGCCATAAACTGGTGAGGTTACAATGAACCACCAGACACTTCTGTTCCAAAATAGCCCTATTCCCAGTATGACTAAAGGAGATAATCAACATCTTAGGATCCATGGTATCCAAGAAAAAATACAAAGGTTCATTTGAATAGAGTTTCAGATGATAGGGCCAAATGATCCTCTTCTCTTTATGGTCTTTGGTAGATTTTGGTACTTGGGGACGTTTTTCTTGCACATCCGTAATCTTCAAATGGCTATGCATCATACTGGGTTTGAAGAAAATGTACATATTATCAATATATTTACTAAACTGATAGAAATCCACCCAGAGGGTAGGATCATTTTGGGTTTCCGGGTTGGTAACCATGGTATCTATAGATGTATTATCCTCCCTGGTTGCACTAGCAGATCTACGACGGTGGGACCTCATGATAATATCTGAATTGGTATGTCTTTTCAATTGGGTCTTCCTCCTTTCAATCTCAGAAGAGTCATCCCCATTATCCAAATATAACCTAGTCCCTTCTTCCGCTTTGGTTCTACTAGGGTTTCTAGAATCTGGTTCACTTTCTATATTCATAAAAAAGTCAACTATTTGAAGGAACCTCAATGGGGATCCTTCATCACTGTACAACCCTTGCATCCTAGCCCAATGCACCCATCTGAATCTCTTCCACCTAGCTAAATCAGGTTTATATTCAGGTTTATCAAAGGGTACATCTCTGATTTGATTCAGGAGGAAGAGATGACTCCTACAGGGTGGTAACTGGGGTGCATCATCGGATAACCCACAGGATTCACCTCGGGTGTCTACAATTTTCGCAATGACACAAAAGGGACTAGGTTTTACTTCCACAACAGGAAGTGGTTTTGGTTTGGGTTTCTCTTTCTTAGACTTTTTACTTTTTCCGGATTTTTCTGAAGGTGCTGGGGGTTCTGGGTCTTCCGGCCAAGTGTAATGTTGAGCGTAGGTTACGCAAATGTCCCAAATTTCATTGGAATCCAAACCTTTTAATAAATTTTTAATTAAAACATGACTTAAGTCACTTCGGGCCTAAGTAATATTACTTAACGTGTTTAGTTTCTGACAGACCCATCCGGTCAAAGCGGAAATAATATTAAAATCATAAGTTTCACGTTCTTCAATCCACGAAAGATTGGCGACCTTCAAGAGGGCTTTACACAACAAAAATGGCCACAACTCCACCACATCCTCATCATTACCATTAGCCTCACCATCATCCACTTTTTTCTTCTGTTTATCTTTTTTATTCACCTTAATATCTTCAATTTTAATTATAGAAGACTTTACTTTTGGTAATAAAAGTCTATCCTTTGAATCAACCGGTAAAAAATCATCTACTACCACACGACGCCATGACCCCATCCAAAATATTCTCAAAATATACTTCCCTTTAAACAATACATCAACTTAACCCATTTTCAAACCTTAAACCTAATTATTACCTAATTTATTAACTTGTGGTTTATGTTTCTGCCCTCTTCCGGCTTTACATGCAGAATAAACATGATGCCAGCCTCTCCAGGGTTCATCACTAGTATTAGGAGTATAGGAAGCACTAGCGCCCTCTATTGTCCACATATTTGCATTACCCATAAACTCCAACATACCAACACTCGTAATGAAAGCAATCATGAACGTAGAACCAAAAAGATGATTGTTATCATTCGTAAAATCCGAATATCCGGTTTGTGATCCGTCTTTAAACACCACAAATGTTTTCTAATTATTAATAAATAATTAATTATTAAATTAATTAATTTGAAAAATTTAAATTTTACGTTTGGAAATACAACTTCCGGTTTCTTCCATTTGTAAACCTGTAGACTCGCAGGTAGTGTAAAACTATGCGCATCACGAAAGGGTAAAGGTGGTGGGGGTAAAACTATCTTCGGGGAACTAGCCTCAGGTTCCAACTTCGATAAAAAAACAGGAAACCGGAAAAATACGATTATTAACTTGTGTCTACCATGGATTTAATATAAATACATTTTGCTTGTCTTTATGCTCTTCATTTATAGTTTTCTCTTTACTCCTCTCCCATTTCTCAGCGTTCAACTCGGAATCACTCCATTCCGGAAATATTAAATCATCCGGATTTGTACCTTCGTATTCCGGTGATATTTGCGCAGTGGCCTCACTTTTAAACGTAGAATCTTTCGAGGTAACATTCGACACTTTACTTTTTTCCATTTTTAAATGATAAATGTCACAACTTGTTTCAAACAACTTCTATATGCATGCATACTTGGTTGCCTATAGTCAACCTTACTCAGTAACTTTATACCTCGTCTATTGTTACATTATTTTTAATACAACACAATAGAAACTTACACAATGGACAAATATTATATTAAGAAACAAAAAACGAAAAAAGTATTGAATATGTAACGAGAGTAACCTGGTAACGAGCAATAACGAATTAATTCAGTCTGTGCGCTGCTCTCGTTGCACCTGATTGCGATATTGCGACAATGCCGCTGCAAGAATGCGAATCGATGACCACACGACGTCACACACCGCCCTGGGTGGTCCTTAAAATAGCAGCCGGCATTCCATCATAGGTAATGAGCGTGATTTATCACCGACACACAAAATTCGCATTATTCACGATCGTGTATAATACGCGCGTGCGCAGGACTAGACTAGTAGGCGCATTAACATTATATTCAGTATTTCCCTCGTTATTTTAATGATCGGTTATTTGGCCGTCAAGAGCTCTCTCTCGGGTAGTTTTCTGCGTTTTGCATGATGCGGAGACTTTTTAACGATGCCGAAAACACCGACGCATACGTTACACAAATAAAAAATTAATTTTTACAACCAAAAACATAAAATATCACAAAATTTCTTTAAAAAAACTAAAAAATTTCTTTAAAAATGAAATAAATTATTTTTTTCATGAAAACACACTGTATACTAGTTAAATTTAAACATTTTAAAACACTACATGTACTGTATGAGTGCGGGGGTCGTCGGTCGTCGGCGTGCAAGTGTTAATTGCAAATAAAAAGGCTATAATCATGCGAATTTTTACACGCTTGTTAAGAACTTTCAAAGCCGCTGTGCAATTTATACTTAACTATTAGGTACACCACTACTAGGCAACGTACTTTACGGCGGTCTTAAAATTTACTCTGTCATTATTATATTATTGTTTTTCTTTTCGTCACTTAAGAGACGCAAGTAAGTCTAGATGTGATTCTCCGAAGTGAGAACAATTTTATATTTCGATTAGTTGCATTAGTCACACTTCACGCTAGATGACACAAAAGAAAAAAGTGTCAAATTCGGTGGTTTACCGATGGAAATTATAGCTGTAAATGGTGAAAAAGTGAATTAAATGAGTTTAAGCTCCGCCTATTGCATGGGGTGCGCATGCGCGTATGACTTAAGTATGTAAGAGGAGTAAAAAAGTATTAAAAACGAGTTAATTGTCAAATTAATGATAGAAAAATAGAAAAAAATTAAAATTATTAATTTTAAGCCCCGCCCAAATTAAAATAGGGTATATTTTGCGCATGCGCGTATGACTTAAGTAAGTAGGAGGAGCAAAAATGCATAAAAAATGCCAAAAACGTGAAATTAAAGATAAAAAATGATTTAAAAAATTAAAATAAATAATTATATGACTAGCACATGTTAAAAAAGATATATTTTGCGCATGCGCATAAAACTTAAACATGTAGACTTAGAATATACCTTAAAATTGCTTTAAATACAAAATTCTGTAATTTTTTAACAAAATTAAAGCTAAAAATTGAATAAAACTAAAATAAAGTCATTCTATGCTCCGCCCAGTGTCACTCATGTTCCACTTTGCGCATGCGCGCATAACTTAAGCATGTAGGCGGAGCACAAATCCACTGCACACGTGCTAACGAGAAAACCATAATAGTTATCGCAATAATCTAAAATATAACGTTGTTATCCAAGTCATACCCAAGTAATAATTGTAAAACGTAAATCGCCGATTGTAAATAATGAATTGTGAAACGCAGCCGAGTATGATGCGATGCCGTTGCTCCACGCTTACCATACCACTGTTATTTCGCCGTCGTCGTCGTATTCAAAAAAGCAAAACGGAAGAAGAATCTCCGCATTCCATGCGCCCTGCTGCGATTACAAATTTACAACTGCGCCACAAAACACACACTCACAATAAAAAAAAAATCCTAACTGTTGGCTGTTTAGCGCGAGCACACTTTTCGATTCTCGCCTCCTTGTTAGTAGGAGCCATCGCCGCCCTAATAACACCTCTTAAAATCTCGTAATTTATGCACTGAACGTCTTCATCGGCGATTTTCGGTGCTTACAATTTATTACCGGCCGCAATAACGCAATAACTGTAACCGACTCACAATTCCAGACAATTATTCGATGAAATTTGAAGTTTCAAAATTTACAAACCAGGCGTAATCAAAAGTTTTGTAACGAAAATAACGAGCCGCATCATTTTATGCTTCACTAGCGTAACGAAAATTGATCAAATATGACCAAATTTCGACTTTATTAAGTACGATATCTTTTAAGTAGCTGTTTCGGGCATTGTGTGGTAATACTGTGAGAAAATATGAATCTAACTGTTTGAAATCAGCATTCAATAGACAAATCGGCTGCGGGATTATACGGTTTTTGGTTTTGTTCAGCGCCCGCCATTGTTTAAAAATATTTTATTACGCGAGTTCAATGCTTTTTCAAACATTTCCAAACGGTTATGAATGAACACAAACGGTTTCATTCACTCGGATGCATTTTTTGCTGCGCATGCGCAGAAAAAAATTTAAAATATATAAAAACCCTTAATATATTGCATGATTAAATATGGTTTTAGTCTAAACTTACTGAATTTTTGCTAATTTTTACATAAGTAAGCTGCGCATGCGCAGTTAAAAAATTAAAAAAATATAAAAAACCCTTAACATATTGTATGATGGAATATTATTTTAGTCTAAACTTACTGAATTTTTGCTGATTTTTACATAAGTAAGCTACGCATGCGCAGTAAAAAAATTTAAAAAAATCCTAACCACATTGTATTAGTCTAAACCCACAAAAACAATTTCATTTAATAAATTTCGATTTTAATGAATTTTTCAACTCGTAAATTATTTTTTCGTTTGCAGAGCTCCGCCCCTTCATATTCCCCATGCTAACTGCATAGCTTTAACGACTCATTGATTGTTATTGCGCTCATCACGAGTTAATAAACAAATTATAGACGCCGAGTGCACATTCACGTTGTTAAACTGATGAAAATGATTAAAGCACTTTATGACTGCTGCGTGTGGTATACAACTTTAAACTTTTACTTCCGACATTACCTCAGAGCTCCGCCCATGCGTCTATTGAAAAAGGCGTGGCGCGTATTTTTTCCCGCGCATGCGCAAACAAAATATCCTCATATATAACTCATAATAGACAAATGTGTACTAAACGCACAAACAGTTGTAGTTAATTAACCCAATTTACAATATACGTTATAAAATCGTGTACTTAATTACAAACGCACTGATTGATGTGTAATTATCGGAATACAAAACAAATACGCGAAAGAAATACAATGCAATAAATTAAACCACTGTCTGGATGAGTGGAAGAACAAAAAACATTGAACTTGATCTTGAGTCATTCGCGCATGCGCAGTAAAAAAAAAAGAAGAGATTCTCTACGCGTCTGGATGTATGGATCGTGTGAATCACGTCGCTGTGGCTTAACTGTAACCGTGTAACTGGTAGCATTTTAACTGCGTTCTGCTTTTGAAAATAAAATAAAAATAAAAAATGAAGAGCATGAGCGTACATTACTTCATTTCGTATCGTTTGTGTTTGTTTTGCATGAAAAGCGTTGTAATTTACGTGGTTAATTATTGTGTAACCCGTCGAGAGCCGGCCGGGTAATGGGTGTAATCTTGTAAATGCGGCGCAAGTGTGAGATTCGCACGAGAAAGAAATTTTGAATGCATATCATGCGAAAAATGCGCGCCAACTGTACATTAACAGCTTAAAAAATGAAAATTTAATTAAATTTTTCATTTTTCGCGCCGAGGAAAATTATAATTAACGTGCGTACAAAATTGAAACTGTAAAATTCACTCATATGCCAGCCATAAACCAAATATAGTCGTACTAAGTCATTTGCGCATGCGCAAAACAAATATTTCTTGTGTCAATAAACAACAAGTTATAATTTATAAAAACCCCGAAGGGTTGGGTTGTAAAGCAGAACAAAACACGTTTCATGACTTAAGTTACAAGTAATAATAAAGTTGCGCATGCGCATTGGTAATTTTTTTGAAAAATGTTTTAATGTTTGCTTATTTCCCAAGCCGGAATCTTTCGATTTTGTGCAGAGAGTAAAATTAAATTCATTACGTATAATGGCTGAAAGTTTTCGTCGGCGGTGCCGGGCAATTAACGCGCTAAATTAGACGTCAAACGGTCGTTTGCGGCGCGTTTCGCCTTCGGGCTCCTCTCTTGCGTTTGCAATCCGTCGCGTGTCGCTTTGCTGCGTTTTGACAGATTTCAATTTCGACACCGCAATCGTGCGCAAATTAAATTACCCGGCAATAAACTATACTTCCAGGAATTTTTACTTAATGATTACATCATTATTTTAGATTAAGTATGACGCGCATGCGCAGTAAAAAGAAACGACTTAAATATAAAAATCCTAACCATATTCTATGATTGAATATTGTATTATGCAAAACTACCAGTATTTTACTAATTTTTCTTAAGTAAGTCGCGCATGCGCAGTAAAAAAACGACTTAAATATAAAAATCTTAAGCATATTCTATGATTGAATATTAGTTTAGTCAAAATTTTTGGAAATTTTACTAATTTTTCTTAAGTAAGTCGCGCATGCGCACTAAAAAAGACTTAAAATATAAAAATCCTAACCACAGTGTATAATGGAATATTGTATATTGTATTAGTCGAAACTATGTTAGATTGCGCACGAATTCGCGCACAGCATGTGAAAAATAACCAAACCGCTTGCAGGTTATTTATCGTAATGCATAAATGCATAACCTATCTCACAAGACAAGCGCAGAAAAAATGATATCGTGCGTCACGTTGCAGTTATCGTATTTTATCGCCGCGTGTCGACACCTACCGGCGCAAAAATGCGCCATCACCTATTAACTAGATAAGTAACTCGCATATTTACACCGTGGCATAATGCGCATACAAAGTTCAAAGTCACGGGCGGCGGGCGCGGATCGTGTCATTGGGTCTGGGTCACGCGCACTGCGCCGATCGATGCCGTGCGATTTGCGATTATTTATATTAACTGACTTAAGTTAAGTCACGTAACTTAACTTAAAAAGTGACTTAAGTCAATTATACATTATAATTTTATATTTAAATGAATATAAATATTAAAGTATGTAAATTTGACTTAAGTCACTTGAGGCGTTACTTAAAATATGACTTAAATCCTATTATATCACGTTCTTTTGTATTTTTGCAAGTAAATATAAAATTATATCGAATGAGTGCAGGCTTTGTCTGCAGACGGCTTTTCTGTTTTGCATCTCAAATAAAAAACCGCAACACAACGCAGAAGAAAACATCTTGCAACTCCTGTAACATTGATCCAGATCGAAACGAGCGTGCGTCGTGTGCGTGATTTGCGTATTGAGTTTACCGAGTCGAGCGCAATGCAAAACCAAAAGCCGAGAAGCGCAATGTGAAGTGAAGTCGAGAGAAGTAAGAATAAAACGAGGAAAAAAATAACACGTAAAACGCAAGCAAGCGGGCAGAGGCAGCAAGAGAAGCAATTGAGATCCGCCAGCGTGATCCGTAGCAGCACACACAGATGCCAAGATGCCGGCCGCGATCGCCGAGATTCGCAAAAATTCCAAGGACGTTCGCAAAGGACACATACTGTAAACGCGCTCGCTTTAGCCGTAACCACACTTTGATGATGTGCGAGTAGTTGTTGAGGAAAAAAGCACTTACAACGCGATTCAAAGCAAAAAAACGAAAAAAAAAATGAGAAAAAAATTGAAAAAAAAGTAGAATTAGTTACAAATACCTATTACTATTATGGCTTCCTTATCACATTTCAACGTACAACTGTCATATATTTAGTTACGACACTTTTACATAGACTAAAACCTTTAAAGTGTGTAGTAAAACATTGTTTTCAACAGTAATAGTTCAGTTTTTGACGAAAAAACACGTTTTTTGCACGTTTTTTTAAAGAAAAAATTGCGGAAGAAAATAATATAAACGTAAAACTCGACGTAAAACTAGAAAATATTTAGTTACAACAGTTTTTCATAAAATAAAACCATTTACCTGAGTAGTAAAACAGTATTTTCACTCGAAAAAGTCAAAATTTTTACGAAAAAACGCGTTTTTTCCGAATTTTTCAGTAAAAACGCGTTTTTTTCCGATTTTTTCAGAAAAAATGTCAGAAAAAAACAATTTAAACGTACAATATTCACCAAGCAAATGGTCTACAAGAATGTGTTCCTGTCAAGTCCTCAAAGAACACTTTGACTTCATCAAAAAAGGTAAAAATCTCAAAAAAATCCTAAAAAAGCAAAATTTTTTGCAAAAATTTTTTTCAGAAAGCGATAAAGCACGAAAAATCATCCCGTGTGAACTTGACATTAAATATGGTGATACCCCCGAAGAAAAATTAGACATCCTTGGTAGTGATTTACCAGATGGTGAGTAAAGCATGAATAATATCCAGTATTCTATAGATTAAATTATAAAATAAGGTTGGCCGTACGGTACTTGATTAAATAATGCCGGCGCTAATCAACGACGAAAATTAAATTAATGCCAATGATGATGAAACCAATTTCGTGTTCACTTTGGTGCAATTTGTGCATTTCCATCACCGACAAGTTGAAATCTTGAGATCTCGACAATCTAAACAATCACAATCTATTGTGCTCGTATTCTCTTCTTACGCCACGGCTGTATTTACGGTTAGACGTGTTTTATTGATGTTTGAGTAGTTTTTAATCATTTTTTTTTAAATTTTCATCATGTGAAAACCACTCCAACACATCGCACACATCTGGTTTATATTTTATACTAGCTGTTGCCCGCGGCTTCGTTCCGGCAGTGATTAATAAAAATGTAATTCGTTTTTACTCTCTTGTTCTAGACATACTCGTAGTAAGAGTCAATTCTATCAATAAGATTGGCAATTTTAATTTAAACAAATTAATTATATAAAGTTTTGTCAATAATGCACTTTAGCGCGCCATCTCGAATTCAACTATTTAACTATAACTATGATTGAATCTCAATGTTAAATTTTATTCTATAGAAAAGAGCTGTTTTGAGGATTTTCCCGGCAATTATTTGAATTTTTCTCACCTTTTAAACCTTCCCTAGACCTCCACGAATAATTCAAGACCAAGATAAGATAAATCCGTTCAGCCGTTCTCGAGTTTTAGCGAGACTAACGTACAGCAATTCATTTTTATATATATACATAATTTTTTGCGTTAGTTTGAGTGTGAAAATAATTTATTATCAATTAAACTTTGGATCGGAACGATTAATCGCCGAAAATAAATTAATCTTTTTGCGGATGTATGCAAATTGGCAAACGCAGAGACGAAAAACAGTATTACGAGTTACAAGTTCGCGCCGTTGAAGTTGAAATTCGCGAGCTGAACGCGAACCGAAGGAAGCCGTGGCGCGGAAGATTAACGGATTAACGGAACATCCGACCGCGCGCATACTCAGACTCTCAACTCGAAACGTCATTAAAACTGCATCATCCGGTCTAGTTTTATCGGAAAATAATCAATTTTTGCATTTTCAGATTCTCCGATATGTTTTTTCATCCATGGAGGATTTTGGTCTGCATTAACAAAACAGGACTCTTCTTATCCAGCTCTAAAGTTACACTCGATGGGAATAAAAACATTTGTCATTGATTATGCGTTATGTCCTCAAGTAACATTAAAAACTATCACAGAACAAATTCAAAGAGCTTTTGATTATACTCTTAAATACGCAGAAGAAAAAAAATCAAGGTAAAATTTTTAATTTTTAATTTTTAAGTTTTTAAATTTTTAATTTTTATATTAATGCAAGTTCTCATTTCTCATTTCGCAAAATAAACGACCTTGATTCCTTGTGCGCGACCGACTTTTCCGCATTATTGCGTCTGCATTTGCATTTTATCATTAAATTGAATCAGAACAATACAGAATGAGAGTAGATCTCTCGGACACGGACGCGGACAGGATATAAACATAACATAAACAATTTATTATTAATGAAGTTTCATAGAAAACTTTTTGTTTCAGCGCTGTGTACTTAATGGGTCACAGTGCTGGTGCACATTTGGTTGCATATCTTCTATCAACCACAACCTCACCATTAACTAGCGTAAAATCCGCCATTTTAATATCCGGAATCTATGATTTACGTCCTTTGATTAATTGTTATGTAAATAATGATTTACATCTTTCTCAAAAAGAAGCAGAAGATTTAAGAATTAAATTCAAAAGTAATTTTTATAAAAAATTAAATATTTTTGTTGTTATTGCCGAAAATGATTCACCAGCGTTCCATGAACAAAGTAAACAGTTATATTCATCTTTAAAAACTTCAAAAATCAACGCAACTTTTATAGAAATCGAAAAAAAGGATCATTTTGATATTATGCATTCAATTATCGATGAATCCGTGAATAATCTCGGTATTATACTAAAAAGTATCTTATGAAATCGTGAATAAAGTACAATATTCATTATTTTGCAGTTTGTATTCAATATGCAATAACTACTTACGTGTTATTGACTTATTGACATCATTCCTTACATAACCGTTTTGCATACAAATGCCACCACAATCCAACTTATTCTACTGCGCATGCGCAAACTACTTAACTCTCTACAAGGGCTAAAAACTACAAGCAAGTAATTATTAAGCAATTATTAACATAATTCTCTAAATAACCGTTTTGAATACAAATCTCTCCATAATTCTAATGCGCATGCGCAATCAACTTATCTCTGTCTATTCTTAAAAGGGCTAATACCACGTAAAACACCGCGTCGACAAGCGTACTATATCTCTATATTCTAGTTTACAATTGCATCGATGCGCGCCGCTCGGTAAATAGAAGTAAATGGCGGTAATTGCGGCCGTTGACCAAACGACCTTGCCAGTTGCGAGATGCTCGCCGGCAGCATTGACCATGCAACAGCAACAGCAACAGCAGCAACAACTGGACATTCGCCTCGTTTCTCCTTCTAGCACCACATTACGCATTACGCATGCGCGCACGCCACACATAACCTCAATTTAACTCAGTCTAACCTTAAATTTCATCTCTGCGCTGTCATTTGATTCTTGTATCATGCATGACTAAACTGAACCTATGCGCGTATTATATTAATGCATGTGCGCAGAGGACGGATAATTTGAATTCTGCGTGCGCAGGCTAATAGTTTCCGCTTTGTGTATGGAAAATCAGACGTTTCTGCACATAGGTACATGCAATCTACTTTTATAAAACCGTTAGGAAAAAATTAAAAATGAAAATTTGTTTTTTAAAGTTTTTTAAAGAAAAAAATTGTTTTTGTATAGAAATGTGAATTGTAGACATAACATATTATAATACTGCGCATGCGCAACCAACTTAACACTTCAAAAAGGCTTAAAGTGCGTAAATAGAATAAAATTTTACGTGTTTTGAAGAAAAAATTTGTTTTTGCATACAAATATAAAATTTACACACAACATACTATAATACTGCGCATGCGCAACCAACTTAAGTCACCAAAAGTGCTTAAATTGCGCAAGTAAAGTAAAATTTAACTTTTTTCCGAGAAAATTTTCTGTTTTTGATTTTTTTTGCAAAATCATCGCTTACTTAGTTTTATATTTCATAAATTTTTGCATAATGCAAAATACGAGCGTCAAAGTTCAAAAGGTGCGCATAATTACAATAACAAATTTTATCCGCTTCACTCACCGACTTTACTACGCACAAAACCAACATCAGTACTAGAATAAACCTCAACTCAAAACCATCACTTTTTCCCATTTTTTTTCAAAAAATTAAAATGGCGTCCAGTTCAGGTCTAATCAAAAAATACACCCGAGAAGAAGTGAAACGCCACAACTCCAACGACGACCTCTGGATAATCCTCGACAACAACGTCTACGACCTCACAGATTTCGTCTACAAACACCCCGGAGGTGAAGAAGTACTCTTGGACCGAGCTGGAGGTGATGGCACCGATTGTTTCGACAACATCGGACATAGTCTAGACGCGAAAGAACTGCGCGAGTCTTTTAAAATCGGCGAAGTTGTCGACGCCGACCGGCGACAGAAGCACGAAGCGCAATTCGACGGCGAGTACGGCCGAAAGTTCTCCGTGCCGAAGAGCACCATGTTCGACTATGTGCTTCCGGGCGTTGTGGTTTTCATAGCGTTTATATATTGTTTTGTATGGTGATAAATATTTATTATCCGTAGCCAAAAGAAAAAGTATAATAAACTAGTAATATGTAAATAGAAAGTTGTGTGGAATATAGAAAAAAATAAAATATTTAAACACATTGTATGTGTATGAGTTTTGTATGTTTAAAAGTTATTGTGGCGTGATTAATTTAATTTCATCGGCGCGCAGCATACGGCTGGCGTGCCCTGGCTTATTTTCTGCTTAGCTTACTACTCACTCACTCACTCATAACGCATATTGCATTATTTTACAGTGATGGAATGCATTGTTTCATGTGTGACCTTAATACAAGTGCACTGCAATCAAGTGGCGCCATCTGGTGCTAAATATGGATAACTAAAGTTATAGGTTAGGAACTTAACACTATTAGATGATTTTTTTATGTGTAAAAAAAAGTAAAAATGCAAAAAATAAATTTTTCTTTAGAGGGGGACAATGTTGGAGTTGGTGTATATGTACCGAACATAGGATTGTGCTATGAAAAATAGAAAGGTAAACTTAAAAGATATGAGTTTACTACTTCTAGATGATTTTTTTAGGTAAAACAACGTAAAAATGCAAAAAAATAATATTTTCTTGTGATGGCCAATGTTGGAGTAGCGGTTCATGTCCCGAACATAGGAATAATACAATATTAGGCCAGTTATTCACTAAAACATTAAATTTTTAGAAGTTTTCTAGATGTGAAAATGTAAAATGCAAAATTATACAAAATTGGTGAAATGGACAATGTTGGACTTGCGGTACAAGTACCGAACATAGTAGATCCAATGCTAAATACCCATAATTAAACTTAAAAGTTATGAAATCACAACTTCTATACTATTTTTTTACGTGTAGCAACGTAAAAACGCAAAATTTAATGTTTTTCTTGAGAAAGACAATGTTGGAGATGCAGTACATGTACCGAACATAGAAATAATAGAATATAATGTCTCTAATTATTATAAAATCTATTTTTTAGAAGTTTTTTAAGTGTGACAACGCAAAAATGCAAAAATTTGTATAATTGGTAAAAGGGACAATGTTGGACTTGCGGTACACATACCGAACATAGTTGATCCAATGCTAAATACATATAACTAAACTTGAAAGTTATGAATTCATCACAACGAGACGGTTTTCAATCAATATTCATGAATATTAATCCCATTTAATCTCTCGTCTAAGTGCAAATCAGTTTTACAGACGAGAAAAACACTACAATATGCAAATTTTGATTAAAAATTAAATCATGTTTTTCCAACTGCACTAAAATATTTCTTGCTCCTATCTCAGAACATAATCTAACAAAAAATCCAGAAAAAAACATTAAAATGCTAATTTTATTTTATTTTACTTTATTTTATTCGATTGTGTAACACAAACATTTTTTTCTTTTCATCTTCTTCTTTTTCTTCTTGTTGTTGTTGTAAATATTAAAATATTAACTAGGTGCTACTTGTGTTTTGTATTGCTTGCATCTGCAATCAAATATCATACTCGCTGTGTAATGGTGTCAATATATTTCTAGGCGCTGGCGAGGTGAACGCAACGAACACAAGGCAATTTCCGGTGTTACGTTAGCGGCATGCGCCGATAAATAAAACTGAGCCTCATTATGATAATAATGCGCATTATGCGATATGCGTATTATCACATTATACCATTGTGCGGCGACGACTACTTTTTCCGAACAAACTCGAGATGTTTAGGTTTACCACTTGAATGAGGCAAGAGAGGACATAATGTTGTTGATGCAAGAGAGAAGACGGGAAAAAATGTCGAATGAACGGTACACGGCGTAATTTGAGATGAAAAGAAAACAAGCAAATGGTCAACATGGTAAACTAAGGTAAAATATTAAAATGCGGTCAATACTATACTTTATTAACTTATATTTTGGATTTTAATTTATTTTTAACTTTGAAGTCTAATTTTGCATTGAAAAAATTTAATTTTTGCAATAAAAAGTAGTCTATATCTTATTTTGTTAAATAAATTATAATATTGAAAAGTTTTATCAAATTTGCGTCGGCCATTTTAGCGTGAAAGAGCAACAAACATACAAAATCACATAATATTCACTAAAATAAGCTACTAACAACTTTAAAAACTAAAATAAAACAAATATTTCCTCAAAAAATGATAATTTAAACTTTCATCCCCAATTTTACACCCTTAAAATTAAATTTTCACAACAAATACTAACCTATCTTTTATTCCAATAAATAAACTATTAAAACATAAAATTTCATCAAAATACCTCCAGTACTTTTTGAGTTAAACAGTAACAAACATACAAATACCCTAATATCCCCTAAAATAACCTGCTACCTACTCAATAGATACTCAAAATAACAAAATAAAATAAATATTTTCATTTCGAAATACTAAAATGATAAAATTTAATATAAACTCCCATGTCTGTAAAGTAGCTATATATAAATATAGCCGGTGTAATGAGAGCACTTATCTGTTAATTGCAAACAACCGTTTTGCCCGAAGCTGTGCGCAGATACGAGTATTGCCGTCGACAAAACGGTAATGTTCACGCGCGCGCACGCAAAAGGCAAAAGCAAAATGTTTACAATTCCACCATATACAAATCCCCACAGAGTATTTAAAATTAACAATATTCGCATCTTCGCACAATTCATTCACATTCCTCAATTCACAATTCACAATTTCTCAACAACATTATTATCTCTTAGCATCTCATCTTCTTTCCATCCCATCCAGGCGGACACCAGAAAACAAACGCTAGCAACAATTAACAATTAACTTATTACAGTAATGCGCACATGCGCACAACGCACACCATCCTCATAATCTTAGCATTAATGTTATACTACACGTGTGTGTCTATTGCTATTATCTTATAATAATATAATAAGAATCAGTAGCAGAAGAGAAGAAAAAAAAAGCAAAAAAACGTTATACGCGTGTTTTGTTTGCGAAAAGTTTTATGCGTGAACAATGCGGAATGTTAAATGTAAGATGTAAAGTACTCACGAGTACAACACGGGATAAACGTTAGAATAATTAGATAATAATTTAATTTAAATTAAGAAATAAACTGTGCTTCTTTTTTTTGCAGTGTTTGTGTTTCGATTGACGGTTATAGGTCGCAGGATCGTAAAATTTGCAACTGTAAGTAAAGTAAAATTCGCATTTTACGACCGGCCTAACCTCAAAATGTCCGCTGCGGTGAATTTCCTCGATTTAATTACCGCTGGCATGTGTTAAATACCAACCAATATATATTAACAGCTTTTGGGCTACAAATTATAAGTAATATCATGCGAAAATGTTAATTTTACAGTTGGACAATGTTGGAGGTGCCATATATCTACCGAACATAGGAATAATAAATAATAAAATCACTAATTGATGCAGAAACTAGTTTTTAGAAGATTTTCTAGGTTTAAACATGAAGAAAACTAAAAAAAAATTTTCTTGGAGAGGACAATGTTGGAGTTGCTGTTCAAGTACCGAACATAGTTATAATAGCCTATTATCTCAAGGATTGTCATAAAAACTAATTTTTTAGAACTTTTTTTTGTGTAAGAAGGTAAAAAAGCGAAAAATAATTTTTTCTTGACGAAGACAATGTTGGAGTTGCTGTATAAGAACCGAACATAGCAATAATAGCCTATTATCTTATGAATTGTCCTAAAAACTAAATTTTTAGACGTTTTTTTGGTGTAAAAACGAAAATAAGCAAAAAATATTTTTTTTCTTGACGAAGACAATGTTGGAGTTGACGTACAAGTACCGAACATAGCATAAAATATCACTACTTTTAAAAATAAAAACCTAAATCATCCAGAAATAATATTTTAACAGTTTTACCTCTAATATTTCGTGTCTAACGGTAAAATTTTCATTTTCCTCCACGACTCGTATCAAATCCTCTCATCAAAAGCCCATAATCCAAGCTTTCATCGACGGCCGATGATTCCCGCGCTCATTTTCTTGCGCTGAAATTAGTTTTTAGTTTTTACTTTTATTCAATTTCCATTCCTAATTTTCTCAACTGTGCTTTCCTCTGCGTCTGCGTTAGTGAGATGGCATATCGCGTAAATCTTATAATATCCGCCTGGCGTAATGAACGAAATTCATAATAATTAGCGTTAAGCATTAGTGCATTAGCACTGTGTGAATGTTCTCGCGCTATGCTATGCGCGCCGTCCGAAAGTGGGAATCTGGGAATATCCACAACCAGCCAAGACAACCATCAGTCAAATTAACAATGGCGGGTCATTGGTAACCTGCGCGCGCGCGCGCCCGAGTCTGTGTTACAGTTACAAGAGAGTATAGCAACCAGTAAGCAGTAACAACCATCAAGAAGCTAACGAGACCGTCAATTAAATATTATTAAGATTAGAGAGACAACAAAAGATAAATTTCAATGTTTTGAGCAACTAGGAATAGATAATACTAATCCATTCGGAGTAAAATTAAGAAATGTTGAAATGGACAATGTTGGAGATGCAGTACAAGTACCGAACATAGAAATATATATAATTAAGCTTAAAAGGCGATAAAAAATTCAAAATAAATATATGTAGCCACCAGGAAGACAAAATTTAAGTAAATTCTAGAAGAAAACAAAACAATGTGAAAATGGCTAATGTTGGAGTTGCCGTACACGTACCGAACATAGCATATTACGTGGCTAATTGACTAAAATCCTAATTTTAAGAAGTTTTTTGACATTTAACAACGTAAAAATACAAAAAAAAGTTTTCTTGAAAAAACTAATGTTGGACTTGCGATACATGTACCGAACATATGAATAAAACATGAAAACACAACGAAAAAAATAAAATAAAGATATTTAAGCAACTAGAAAGAGATAATACTAATCCATTTGGAGTAAAATTAAGAAATGTTGAAATGGACAATGTTGGAGATGCAGTATAAGTACCGAACATAGGAATAATTGCATAATAAGTCACTAATTGAGTTAAATTCTAAAACAATTGATTTTTTTAGTTTAAAAATGAAAA